AACCCCTGTTCCCTCTGAACCCCTAACTTTGGGGAACTCAAAGAGTTCCCAAAGCCTGAGACCAGGGCATTTGGCCCCAGCTCCCTGCCATTGCCAGTACTTTAATAACTAGTGATAGTTTTATGTGTATTCTTCCAGAAATTTTTTGGTGTATTTACATATACATTGTACAGATGTGCTTTTAAAGAACATAGGTAGGACCATACAATGCATGCAGTTTTACTTTTGCTTTTTTTTCACTTTATGGGTGAAATATATCTTGGAGGTTTTTTTTTTCTTTTTGTAAACAATGCTTTATGGGGGTGGAGTGGGGACTGGACAGGCTGTGAACCAGATGCCAGGATCTTCAGTGAATGAGTAAAGGTGTTGAGGTGTAACCAAATGGTATGAAACTTAAAGGAAGAATTGGGGTTTTTCACCTGAGGGTGAAGGAAGAATTATCTGGAAGTTGTGATGGGGCTGGAAGAGGATGCCCACCTCACCTCCTGACTGGGTAGTATATGCATGTATTGGTATAAATCACTTTCACTTGAAAGATCTGCAAGGGAAGCTCCATTCTCACAGGAAAGCCATGAATATTCAGGGATGAGTTGGAGGATGGTAGGAGAGTTTGTTAATCATAGAGTGGTGTTCTAGAAGCCATAGCAGAAGCACTTGGAAGTTAAGGTAGAAATGACAGGTCAGGCAGGGGGGAAGAAGAAGCCCAGAGGGATATTGGGAAAACAGTAACAATACGGTAATTTAGTAGTGACAATAATAGGGACACCTGGCTGGCTTAGTTGGTAGAACATGGGACTCTTGATCTCAGGGTCATGAGTTCAAGAAACACACTGGCAGTAGAGCTTACTTAAAAAAAAAAAGTAACAATGCTTTGCATGCATTAACTCATTTAATCCTTGTAGCACCCTCATAAAGTAGAGCCTTTATTGTATAGATGAGAAGACAGGCACAGAATTCAAGTAACTTGCCCAAGGTCACATAGCAAATAAATTGAACTGGGCGCTTACATACCGGGCTGTGAAAGAGAGAAACAAGGATGTGAATGAGCATGGTGAGTGAATTCAACTTGTCCCAAGTTTGGCAGGGTGGTCAGTCCTTACAGTCCTCAGATACGTGGGAAGCTTTGAGCTCTCCCCACATTTAGCTGTATTTGGCACTGGAGGCAGGAGCTGCTGTTTTGTTGGTGTTCTTTATATTGCTCTGTATGGAAGGATTCAGGCAATGGCCGGGCCCAGCGCATTTTCTCACCTATGCTCTGCAGAGGGATTGGTGGTGGGGGTAGTGGTGTGATTCTTAGGCATGCCTTGCCCTTCTGGGGATAGAAAGCAGGGCTGCAGAGGGCTTTAAGGTGTAAGGCTGAGAGGCAATTTGTGGGAGAATTGACCTTAATGTAAGACATCACAGGCTGTAGATTCTGAGAGATGTGAGGCCCAGCAGGGGTCTGGCAGTGGCCCAATTCTTTCTTGCAGTGAAAGCAATTCCTCCAGTGTTCAGAGCTGTGGCCTAGCTCCTAAAGAAACCTCTCTTTACTGGGTGCCCAAGGGTTTTGGTGCCACACTTCTTGCTCAAGGAAGCTTATGGAGAAGAAAAGGCAGTCTTTCTGCAAATTTCCCTGGGCAGTATATTAGAGCCTTGTGTCAAGATGACCCTAAAAAATCCTTTCAAAAGTTTAAGGAAGCAAATACCATTGATGAACATTTAATGTTTATTATAGCTAGGTTATTTATTTTAGTGAAATATATGATAGGTTTTTGGTTTGGGTTTAGGTTTGGGTTTAGGTTTGGGTTTTCTGTGTTCCATGCTGCATGTGCACTGAAGAACCTTTTAGGTTGCAGAGAACATTTATGCACAAATTACAGTACAGAGAGTATGTATGTTTAAAACAGAAAGGTCCTTCATAATTACTTATTGCATGAATAAATGAAGTTCATTATTTCAATTTTTTAAAAAGATTTCATTTATCTATTTAAGAAAGAGAGATAGAGAGAGCACAAGTCGGGGGGAGGGGAAGTAGAGGGGGAAGCATGCTCCCTGCTGAGCAGGGAGCCCCACACTGGGCTGGATCCCAGGACCCTGGGATCACGACCTGAGCCGAAGGCAGATGCTCAACCAACTGAGCCACCCAGGCACTCCATTATTTTAATTTTTAAAAAGATTTGTTTATTTATTTGAGAGAGAGAGATTGAGAGAGGGAGTGCATGAGTGGGAGGGGCAGAGGGAGAGAGAATCCTCAAGAAGACTCCATGCCCAGTGCTGGGTGTGGTGCATAAACAATGAATTCTGGAACACTGAAAAGAAGTTTAAAAAATAAAAAAAATAAAAAATAAATAAAAAAAGGGCATGTATTGCATGAAGCACTGGGTGTGGTGCATAAACAATGAATCTTGGAACACTGAAAAAATAAAATTAAATTAAAAAAAAAAGACTCCATGCCCAACGTGGGGCTTAATCCCATGACCCAGAGATCAGGACCTGGGTGCAAACCAAGAGTCAGTTGCTCAACCAACTGTACCATCCAGGTGCCACCACTATTTTAATTTTTTTTCATTATTTTAAGTTTTGGAGAGGTTTAGTTTGGGGTATTTCTTCTTTTATGATATATAGTTTGTTATAGCAATGATTTACTTGAAGATGAGTCCTTTGTCAGAAGCAAAGCCCCAATTAAGCTTGGGGAAAAAAATCCACTTTATGTTGATACCATTTGCAACATAAAACCAGAAACACATTGCAGTGAAAATCGGGCCCTGCTTATGTATTTGTGTAGGTGGGTTATGAATGAAGGTATTCATGCACATGTACAAAACTAAATACCTCATTAATACTGATGACCTAACTTGGCACTTGTCATCATTCAGATTCAGTTTCTATGATCATCAGAGTGTATGAAAGTAGATTAAAACATGTATGTACATGTTGCTATATATCTAGTCCCATGCATATGAGACTTGTCATAATTTGGATAGAGTATGCATGATTTTGTAGAATTAAAAGTCAGTTATTATTTTTAGCACTGCAAATATTCGACTTTTGAATTATTACTTTTCTTAAACAGTTTCAAGAAAGTAGAAAGTCCATCTAGGTATTCTTAATTCTGGGGTCTATCAAGTTAAATTTTATTTACTAGTGGAATATATAGTTACTACTATGCTATTAACATGTATAGATTCAATGGGTTCTTTTTTCCATTCATCTCAAGCTACTTAATAACTGTTTATTGTTGTTATAATGTATTTATTGTTACATGGCAGGCTCCCAGGGTGATGTGCCAGGAGAGGAAAGCTGTTTGGCAAGAAGCCTGACAGTGTAGCACCACCAACCACAGCTTGGGGTCTGGGCTTCAGTTTTGTATGCTCATAAATTCAATATTCTAAATGTTACAGAGCTGATGTGGACTCATGCTAAGGACATTCACAAGAGACAGGTATAAACCAGAATGACAATTTATTAATTTACAAAGACAAACAATTGTTCATGAGGATTTGAATTAAAAATGGCAAATTCGGGGCACTTGGGTGGCTCAGCAGTTAAGCACCTGCCTTTGGCTCAGGTCATGATCTCAGGGTCCTGGGATGGAGCCTTTCCTCAGGCTCCCTGCTCAGATGGGAGTCTACTTCTCCCTCTGCACCTCCCCTGCTCATTTTCTCTCTCTCTTTCTCTCTCTCTCAGATAAATAAATAGAATTTTTAAAAATGGCAAATTCTTGTCAGGGAGATCTTTATGGGAAACCAAATTATAATCAGAAGAGTGTCCCTACCATAGAATCAAGGCAAGGTGAGTTTGTTGTACAATTCAAATACATAATAGCGTTTATTATGATTGCTCCAAACACCCATCTCCCCAACATAGAGTATTTGCTCTCCAGAGAGACTGGCGTATTTGTTTTACAGATGAGTGCTCATCCACTCAACTGTCTGGATGGTGCCTTTTTAGTTAGGTTTTGTATTTTTCTATGGTTTCTTTGCTGATCAAAACTTTGGATTCGCTCTTTTTAAAATTAACTAATAAAACGTGTTTCTTTGACTGTTACCTCTTCAGTCAGATAAGTCTTGTATAGCTTGCCTAGAGGCCATTCTATCGTCAGGGAAATTAGCTCCCTTGAGTTATAGCCCAACTTGTAGGTATGTTGAGTTAGGGGACAGCAACCTAGTGAATAATTCTATGGGGGCACCTCACTATGGCCGGTGAATGTGTTTGTCAGATTAAAATACCAGACGCCTAATTACATTCAGATAACAAGGAAATTTTAAAAATATAAGTATGTCCCAAATATTGCATGAGGTGTAGACATACTAAAAATATATATATTCATTGTTTATCTGAAATTCAAAGTTAACTGGATATCCTGTATTATTGCTTGCTAAACGTGGTCAAGCCCACGAATACATTAACAAGATGCCATGAGGTTTTCCTGGGTTCACGGTGTTTGGTAAGCACCGATCCTTTCGAGAGTCTCGGGGAACAAAACCGTTCCCACTGAAAAATTGCTTAGGTGGATAAGCAGGCAGGCAGGTAGCAACCAAACACGGAATAATCTTGGCCCTTTGAGGAGCCCGTAACTGACGCAACTGCCATATGCTGCCTTGATTGATTACCCCACCCCTTCATTCTCCCCTTCCTGCAGCTAGAGTGATTGCTCTATCTCTTCTTCCTTCTGTAGTCCCGCCCTTCCAGCTCTCCTCTCTGGAGGGTAATCTGTAGCCCAAAAAGGGCCGGCAAAAGCGCCGACGTGTTCAGAGGAGCGGAAGTAGTCAAATTTCATTGAGAACCGTAAAGTGCGGCTGGCTGTCTCCCTTTCCGGATAACGACAACAGCTCCGATTGTCAGTGCCGGCCTTCCTCGTGTAACGAGGATCTGCCGGACCCTTGCTAATTCAATTTCTCTTTTCCCATTCCGGGCCCTTCCCTATCGTCGCCCCCTTCACCTTGGATCATGTTCAAGAAGTAAGGACATGCTGTGGACTCCATCGGCTTCTCACAAAGGGGGTGGGGGTGGAGGTGGGGAAGAGGGCGAGAGCAAAGAACCTCTTTCTCTCTCCCCCCACCCCTGCCATCCTTATTCCCTAAGGTCTTCTGTAGTACTAGGCTCTCACTCGCAACTTGCAACACTGTAACCTTTCCATCCCTAATCTTCAATCGAGTTTTGATCCTCCCACCCTCATTTTCTTTTTCCTTAGCCCTTTTTCTCTTTTGCCCCCTCTCCCAATCCTATCTCTTTATCTAGGTTCTACCAATCACATCCTTGCACTGTGATTTAAGGGTATATCTTCTTTAGCTCAGAGGAGAGCCCTGCACTCACTGCCATATGTTTATTAGTTATGAACTGAATAAGGGAAGGCTTGACTTCCTGGGTCATGGGAGTGAAGGAGTCTGGGTGACAGGAAGCAAGCGGCCTGTCATGTCTATTGCTTAGCTGCCAGATTAACCTTGTCTTGAAAATAGCGTGATTGCCCCATAGGCAATTCAGTGTAAGGAAGACAAAAATTCTTTGGGAACCTACCTAGTGGGTTTTTCTTCCAGACTTGGTAGGCACAAAAACAAAGGGGGAACATGGGCAAAGGAAGGTGGGTTTTGTGCATGATATTTTGAACAAAAATAAATAGGGATCTTAGAAATCATCCTCATCATCACTTAAAAAAAAAAAAAGACAAAAAACCTCAGCAGATTGCATAGCCTAGCAGGGGCCAGTTTTCTGTGTTATATTTGGGTTGCTCTTTTGTGTTTCAGCGCCTGAGGGTTTTTTGTTTTGTTTTGTTTCACTTTTGTTTTTTCACACAGGTTTTGTTATAGGTGGGGATCTGTTTCTTCCTGGGTAGAATTGAGAAGGGTTTTCCAGGAAAGGCATTTGTGTAGCTGATTACAGATTAGGATGTGAAATATGCCTCCTGTCCTCCCCCTCACCCCCACCGCCCCCCTCCATTGTGTATACATGACAGTTTAATATTGTATTAAGACACTGGTTTTGCGCTGGACAGAATTAAAGGGAAATGATATTTTAAAAAACAATTTATTTCGTAGTTACTTTAGACATCTAAATACTTACTTGGGAATAGATGACTAATTAAAACAATATCTTTAGCTATTTTGATATGTCTGCTTGAAAATGCCTTTTTCTTGCAAAAATCATTTGACAGATTTGATGAAAAAGAAAATGTGTCCAACTGCATCCAGTTGAAAACCTCAGTTATAAAGGGTATTAAGAACCAGTTGATAGAACAATTTCCAGGTATTGAACCATAGCTTAATCAAATCATGCCTAAGAAAGATCCTGTCAAAATAGTGCGATGGTAAGTCTTTATTTTTCTCTATATAAAGCTCAGAGTAGCTGAATATTGTATGATTAGATTGCACTCATAATAAATGGAATTATTTTCACATTAACCATTGGTAGATTAATTATAGAGGTAGATAAATAGAATAACTAAAACATCAGTATTTGTATTTTCAAGTGTTTCTTTATGTTCCTGAAAAATGTAGCTTTGTGTACTGATTGTTTTATTAAAGTGTTTTATTCAGACTTGAATTTATTTCAGTTTGTACTGTAGATATTTGTTTTATTGAATTACCTAATGATGAAATTAAGATAATAAGATGTGAAATGAAATTGTAGTAGGTCATATTTTTCTTTTTATTCCTCTACTGGACTGTTATGGTAGGTGAAACAATTTGAACGGTGGTTGTTTTTTTTTTTTTTTTGCCTGGATATTTAATGAAATATAAAAGAGGTTACTGTATCTTTGTAGATGTATGTTTCATATTTTTTTGTTATCTAAAGGATGTTTGGCATATTCATTTTAGAAAGAAAATATCTAACTTGGTACTTTGTGACATTTGTCTTACAGTCATGAACATATAGAAATCCTTACAGTAAATGGAGAATTACTATTTTTTAGACAAAGAGAAGGGCCTTTTTATCCAACCCTAAGGTTACTTCACAAATGTAAGTCTTGTTAGAAAATATGTATTTGGGGGCACCTGGGTGGCTCAGTGGGTTAAAGCCTCTGCCTTTGGCTCAGGTCATGGTCCCAGTGTCCTGGGATCCAGCCCCACATTGGGCTGTCTGCTCAGCAGGGAGCCTGCTTCCCCGTCTCTCTCTGCCTGCCTCTCTACCTACTTGTGATCTCTGTCTGTCAAATAAATAAATAAAATCTTAAAAAAAAAAAGAAAATATGTATTTGGGGACATGGAAAGATGTAAAAGGAGTTGAAAGTGATTTCTGGAAGTTAACTTATTTATTAATACTAGGTGATAAGGGATATAAAACTAAAATGAATCCCCATCTTGTGGTAAATCTTAAAAAATGCAAATTTTCTCATTAGGCATTCCAGAAAGGCCAAGAAAGAACATTCATTCATTGAACAAATATTTATTGAACTTACCATGTGTCAGGCTCTGAACTAGCTACTGGGAATATGACGGGAAGCAAAAGCAGACATTGTTCCTCTCCCTATGAAGCTAACAGTCTAGTTGGAAGAATAGATAACAATTAGATAATTACATATATATACATGTACACATGTATACATGTATACATTCGATAAATACATATATATTCACAAATGGTGATAAGTGCTATGAGCACTTCCTTCTTTTAAATTTGTATCTAGATTTGCCTTGTAGTGATAACTCTGTATAAAGGAAAGGATTGACTAATTGTGGGAGTCCCAGTTACTGTTAGTTGAGTGCCAAGCTCAGGTGTTATGAAATAATGTTTCTTACATACCTACATTATTATTAGATTGAGTACATTACAGAAGAAAATCCAAAGGAGATACAATCCTCATGCACAAGAGGTTTTCAACTGTGAAGTCAAAATTTCTGCTTTTCAAACCAGTATATTTCTGGCATTCCAGCCAAGAGGCAGAAAGGAAGGGAGCAACTGGAGGGCTCTGTTGATGGTAGTGGTAACTAAACCACGTAGATGGGTTTTGGTAAGACAAGATCAATTTTGAGTGACCTGGTAGAACGGAGGTCTGGAGCAGTAAGGTGAGTCTTAAAAGAGGTGAAGCATTTTATCATTTAGGAAGGATTATTTACAGTTATTTGATTAAGTATTGATTTCCTCAGGTTAAAAAAGTACAATGGAGAGAAACTGAGTCCTGATGCAATGGGAAAAGTTTAAAATGAAAATATGTTGGTGACATTAGGACATTTTGATGACATTAATTCCTTTTTAACTAAAAGAGGACAAAGACAAAATGCTCAAATGTCTTGCATGAATCTAGATTGGATCCTGGTTTGAAAAACAAAATTCAAGCCCTCCTCCCCTGCCTCAAAAGATATAAAACACTTTCTTAGACTCTTGGGGCAAAATTTGAACATGGTTTGGCTAAAGATGATATTGTACAAATAGTGTTAAATTTTTAGGTATGATAATATTGTGGTTATTTAGGAGAATGACTTTATTTTTAGGTGATATGTACTTATGGTGAAGCATTATGTCTGAAATTTCAAATGGTGGAGGACAAAATACGTGTGTAGAAATAGAAAGAGATATAGCAAGTAGAGCAAAGGGTTAATGAACAGTTTTTCAGTCTACGTGGATGGTGTCCAAGTGTTCATTCAACTATTCTTATGGTTTTCCTCTATGCTAAGACTTTGCATAATAAGTTGGAAGAGAGAAATGTCCCTATTTAATGATATTTTGCTAGGAACCAACCTTTTAGGACATCCTAAAGTTATTGATTTGCAAGAAGCACAGTAATACGGTGGTTAAAAGCATACTTGGAGTTAGGAACACCGGGTTCAATTCCCAGCGCATGTCATTTTTGCCAAGCCACTTAAACAGGTCAAGTCACTTAACTTGCTTAAGCTTTATTGCCTTATCCTTACTTTTTAAAAAAGATTTTTTTATTTGTCAGAAGATGAGAGAGAGAGAGAGTGCACAAGCAGGGGGTAGCAGCAGGCAGAGGGAGAAGCAGTTTCCCGGAGAAGCAAGGAGCCTGGGACTAGATCCCAGGACCCTGAGATCACAACCTGAGCCAACGGCAGACACTTAAACCCACTGAGCCACCCAGGCATCCCTACTGCCTTATCTTTAAAATGTATATATTGTCTCTGCATCAGTCTCCATGTTCAGCACTGAGTCTCCTTGGAATCCTCTCCCTTTCCTTCTCCTTCTCCTCCTCCTCCCCTGTGTGCACTTGCATTCTCTCTCTCTCTCTCAAATAAATAAATAAAATCTTCAAGAAAAAGGATATATTGTACTATCTCCCAGGGTTGTGAGAATTAAATGAGACTCTGCATATAATTCATCTAACACAATGCTTGGAACACAGTAATGGCTCAACATAAGATAGCCACTGTAGTGATACAGTAATTGTGCAAAAAATGTCCACTACTACTGTGTATTATTGTCCTTATCATGATCAGGATCATCATCATCATATTATTAAAGGGCAGGTATTAATGAGGATGGAGAACTGGAAAGCAAATTATGTATACATGTGTTCATTCAGGTTCCTTTTTTTAAATAAGATGTTTAAATTTGAATCCATGTTTAATATATGGTCTCGGTAGGAAGAAGACTTACTTGTTCTCTAACTAGTAGGAGGGCTAGTGGTAGGGCATTAAAGTGAATACATTTTAGGGGCACCTGGGTGGTTCAGTGGGTTAAGCCTCTGCCTTCAGCTCAGGTCATGATCCCAGGGTCCTGGGATCAAGCCCTGCATCGGGCTCTCTGCTCAGCAGGGAGCCTGCTCCCCCCCCCCCCGCCTTTCTCTCTGCCTACTTGTGATCTCTCTCTCTCTCTCTCTGTTAAATGAATGAATAAAGTATTTTTTAAAAAATGAATAAATTTTACCAGTTATTACTATTTCTAGAAAACCCCGAGAGGTCTAAAAAGTTGTGAATCCTTCAGGAAGCCTTTACTTCTTAGATTATGAACTATTAGTAGACACACATACACACACAAAAATAAATTTTTTGAGATTACAAAAGGAATTCATGTTCATAGAGAGTTGGAAAATAGAGAAATGAAATCACCTGTATTTCCATTACCTAGAGATAACCATAGCTTGTATATCAGTGTATTTCTTTTTTTTTTTTTTAATTTGAGAGAGGGAAAACAAGCAGGGGGGAGGGGTAGAGGGAAAAGCAGACTCCCTGCTGAGCAGAGAGCCCAGTGCGGGGCTTGATCCCAGGACCCTGGGATCATGACCTGAGTTGAAGGCAGAAGGTTAACTGACTGAGCCACCCAGGTACCTCTATTTGCTATGTGGGTGTATGTATAAACGTATATATTTTTTCCTTTTGAAGTTGTGCACTCTGTTAAATAGTTTTTTTTTTAAAGATTTTATTTATTTATTTGATAGGCAGAGATCACAAGTAGACAGAGAGGCAGGCAGAGAGAGAGAGAGAGGGAAGCAGGCTCCCTGCTGAGCAGAGAGCCCGATGCGGGACTCGATCCCAGGACCCTGAGCTGAAGGCAGCGGCTTAACCCACTGAGCCACCCAGGCGCCCTGTTAAATAGTTTTTAATTAATAGAGTTTCTTTTTTTTAGGACAGTTGCAGGTGTATAGAAAAATAGAGCAGAAAGTACAGAGTTCCCATATACTTCCTACCCTCCTTCCCTTTTTATTAACATCTTATACTGATGTACTGCATTTGTTACTATTGATGAACCAATGTTCTTACATTATTATTAACCAAAAGCCATAGTTTATATTAGGGTTCATTCTTTGCATTGTACATTCTGTGGTTTTGCCAAATGCATAATGTTATGTATCCACTGTTACAGTATCACTATGTACTATCATAGTATCATAATATAGTTTCACTGCCCTAAAAATCCTTTGCTCCACCTCTTTGTCCCTTGCTCCTTCCCCTCAACCCCTACCACCCACTGATCTCTTTGGTGGTTGTTTTTTTAAAAGATTTTATTTATTTATTTGACACAGAGAGAGCACAAGTAGGCAGAGCAGCAGGCAGAGGGAGAGGGAGAAGCAGGCTTTCTGCTGAGCAGGGACACGATGCGGGGCTCGATCCCAGCACCCTGGGATCATGACCTGAGCCAAAGGCAAATGCTTAACACCTGAGCCACCCAGGCGTCCCTGGTGTTTTTTTTTTTTTCTTTTAACATTAGTATGAACATTTACCTGAGTATTACATAGTCCCTAAAAATATGGTTCTGTTTTATGTATGTTATACTTAAGTCATTTATCTCTTTATTGTTGGACATTTAGGTTGATTCCAATTTATTTCTATTATAAAGAGTAGTACTGCAATGAATATATTTCTACCTAAGTATATTATGTATCTCTAATTTTTAAATAAGATTTTATTTATTTATTTGACAGAGAGAGACAAGACAGGGAACACAAGCAGGGGGAGTGGAAGAGGGAGAAGCAGGCTTCCCACTAAGCAGGGACCCCAACGTGGACCTTGATCCCAGGACTCTGCGATCATGACCTGAGCCGAAGGCAGATGCTTAACACCTGAGCCACCCAGGTGGCCCTCTCTAATTTTTTCTTAGGATAAAGTCTTAGAAATAGAATTACTGAGTCAAAGAGTTTGAACCTTTTCAAGGCTGTTGATACATGTTGCCAAGTAGTCCTAAAGAAAGATTGTACCCAATTATAAGCCTTCTAGCAATATATAAGAATGATACTTTTCCTACACTCTTGCTAGCACTGGGGATTACTTTTGTTAAGAATATTTACCAATGTAGGGACACCTGGGTGGCTCAGTCGGTTAAGTGGCTGCCTTTGGCTCAGATCATGCTCCCAGGGTCCTACATTCGAGTTACACATAGGGCTCCTTGCTCAGCAGGGAGCCTGCTTCTCCCTCTGCCTGATGCTCTCCCTGCTTGTGCTCAGCCTCTCTCTCTCTGAGAAAGAAATTAAATCTTTAAAAAATATTTACCAGCTTGATAAGTGAAGGATGGCGCTTTAGTTTTATTTTGCATCTGTCAGAATACTGTAATTTGGGGAAATATTTGTTTATGTCCTTTGCCTTTTTCTATTCAATCATTAGCCTCATTAATTTATGTAATGTATTTCTTTTCTTCCAGATCCTTTTATCCTGCCACACCAGCAAGTTGATAAAGGAGCCATCAAATTTGTACTCAGTGGAGCAAATATCATATGTCCAGGCTTAACTTCTCCTGGAGCTAAACTTTACTCTGCTCTAGTAGATACAATTGTTGTATCCTTCCCAGACTGTAACTGCTGAAAAAATGTATTCACAGTATTTTTGTCATTACTGAAAGATCTTTTGTTCCAGAAAAGATTAGATGTACTTTTTGGAGGTTACTGTTACTGTTATCTCATCCCTTTCTGGTTACATTTCAACATGTGGGAAATAATATCTTTTCTTGAGACTAAATTATGTCCCATCTTAGAAGTTAAATGGAAACAAGTAATAAAAGAGTCCCAGCTGCATTGCAGCCCAGTTATGGCCCAGTGTTATCAGACTCAGGACACAGTATAAAATTTGATTATGGGGGCACCTGGGTGGCTTGGTTGGTTAAGCATCTGCCTTTGGCTCAGGTCAAGATCCCAGGATCAAGCCCCGCATGGGGCCCCCTGCTCGGTGGGGAGTCTGCTTCTCTCTCTGCTTCCCCCTCCCCCGCCCTGACCCCCACAACCTGGCTTGTGTTTTCTCTCTCGCTCACTCTCTTTCTCTCCAAATAGATAAAATCTTTAAAGAAAATAATAATAAAACTTGATTATTAATGGAGAGGATATGTATGATATGACTAGATCACTTCTTTGGACATCGGCTTGCTACTTTTACTGTTGGCTTATCCATGTACACTGCAGTAAAAGCACTCAAAAGGGAAAAGAGCTTAAATATCAGGTAGGGTGTTAGAAGTGGGTAGTGGGAAATATGGACAATTCCCAACTTTCATTTTAAAGTTCATTTTTAAGTTGGCTGGGCCTCAGAACATACTTCCTCAAAAAGAAATGTTTAAGTTTCAGGTAGTCCTTAAAACTCAATGATATGGCTGAATAATTGTACATTCTTTTCATTTCTACAGCGGTGGTTAGCTATATTCTAGATTAACTAGGTTTTTGTCAACTATCTGGACAGGAGGATGTCTTGTCATGGATAAAGTGGCCATTTGTTTCAGGTTGAGAAAATACTTGGTAGGAATAGGGAAATCACTGTGGAGTGGGAGGGCTGTTGGAGTGGGTTTAAGAGTGTGTCCTGTACTCAAAAGGACAGTATCCTCTGTTGTGGCAGTTATATTTAAGGGGTAATATAAAGTGTATGTTTATATCTTAGGAACAGCTTATATTCACATAGATACTGGTCGCATAATAGGTGCTCAAATATTTTTGGAACGTCGAATGAATGTATGAACTGAAAGTGAGGTGGAGAAAATGGAGAATAGTATTCTGTGAGGACAGGGTTTTTTTGTTTATGTTTATGATTTTTCTAAGTGTTGTAGATTAGTAGTTCTGGAGTTTCCCTTAAATGGAAAATTTAAAAAGCCTTTGCTTTCTTAACAATTTTTATTTTGGAAATAATTTTAGACTTTTAGTTACAAAACTAGTACAGAGAGATACTGTGTACCCTTGAACATTTACCTTGTAGAATGTGTACTGCAGTGTTTAACATTTTATGTTTTTTTAAAGATTTTATTTGAGAGAGAGAGAGAGAGCGTGCGTGAGAGGGCACAGGCGGGGGTAGAGGCAGAGGGAGAGAGAGAAGCAGATTCTGCACTGAGCAGAGAGCCCCCTGTGGGGCGTGATCTCAGGACAACCAGGATCATGACCTGAGCTGAAGGCAGACACTTAACTGATCGAGCCACCCATGCGCCCCACCATGTTTAACATTCTAAATGCTTCAAATGATAACCAAGAACATTTTGGTTGTTCTAGAAAGGTTGAAACACTGAGTTCTTAAAGATAGATTGGAGATATTATTTTAATGTGTCTATTACATAAAACCATCATTCAGTGATTAAAACATTAGAAAAATTCATATTTATTTCACAGTTTTTAATACTTACATGCAAGAAATTTTATCTCCTTTTTTGCATGGCTTTGTTGGCATTGAGTTATAGTGTTAGCATTTAACTTAACAACCAAGAATGATAATTAGATTCATTCATTTATCGTTTATTGAATATTTACCATGAGCCTACAGACTCTGCTAGGTCCCTGTCCTCAAGGAGTGTTGATGGTCCGGGTGAGAATACAAGATGGGTTCAAAGTGACTTTTACTAGTAATGTGATCATTGTTTGACACCCCCCCTTAAGGCATTTTGATAGATAATTAGTTTTCTTAGCTGTGTGTTTTCAGGCAATCATGGCAGAAGGAAAACAGCATGCTCTGTGTGTTGGAGTCATGAAGATGTCTGCAGAAGATATGTAAGTCTCATGTTAGTCTCCCTTAAGCTTTTGAGATATGGGTAGCCTACTCAGGAAGCATCAGAATTACAGGTGAAATTTGCTCTCATTCATACCACATCTTACAAATATTTAAGCACAGAAGCCTCATTTCTGATTTTTCCTAACACTTAAGAAGCCATTGAAACCCATTTTCTTTTTTTTTTTTAAGATTTTATTTATTCATTTAACAGACAGAGAGCACAAGTAAGCAGAGAGGCAGGCAGAGAGGGTTGGGGGGGGGGAGGCAGGCTCCCTGCTGAGCAGAGAGCCCGATGCGGGGCTCGATCCAAGGACCCTGAGATCATGATCCGAGCCGAAGGCAGAGGCTTTAACCCACTGAGCCACTCAGGCTCCCCTGAAACCTATTTTCTCTCCCAGATTGCATTATTTCTTAAGCACTCAGACAAGAACTGTGTGCCAGCACAGCTGTTCTATATGTATGTATGTGCTATTTTAGGAACATCTTATTTAGTATGGTTTAAATTGGGTGGGAGGAAAGATGTTTTGCTATTAGTTTCTTTTATTTTTTAATTAAAAAATATTTATTTATTTATTTATTTATTTAGAGAGAGAGAGAAAGAGAGAAGGAGCAAGGGGAGGGACAGAGAGGGAGAGAGAGAATCCTTGAGCAGACTTCCCACTGAGCACCGAGCCCGACGTGGGGCTCAGTCCCAGGACCCTGAGATCATTACCTGAGCCAAAATCAAGAGTCTGCCACTTAACTCACCGAGCCATCCAGTCGCCCCACTGTTAATTTTTAAACCAGCGACATAGTTCAGTACTACAAGTGTTTATCTTCTCTTTTGACCTGGTGGTATAGAATATTAAGGAAATATTAAAGATATATTACCAAAATATAGTCAATATACTGAAAAACTTTGGAACTCATTTGATGACCAAATTATTCCTATTAATTTTGTTTCACGGTTAGGTATAACACTTTGATGTTCTCCTGGTATGGTGACATCATTACTTTGTTTCTTTCTTTTTTTTTGTTTTATTCATTTGACAGAGAGAGAGAGAGAGAGAGAGAGAGATCACAAGTAGGCAGAGAGGCAGGCAGAGAGAGAGGGAAGCAGGCTCACTGCCGAGCAGAGAGCCCGATGCAGGGCTCGATCCAAGGACCCTGAGATCATGACCTGAGTCAAAGGCAGAGGCTTAACCCACTGAGCCACCCAGGTGCCTCTCATTACTTTGTTTCTATAGACCAACTAGTTAGATCACTGGAATCACTTTAAGACAGGAACTGCAGCAGAGTAATGTAGTTTAATGTAGTCAATAATGTTAATGTAATATAAGTAAATTCCCTATACGTGGCTCAATAATTGCAAAATAGCAATTCATTTTGAATTATATTTACCATAAGTAAGCCTATAAAAATTCATAACAATATGTTTATATGCTTTTTTCCTTCTACAGTGAGAAAGTCAACAAAGGAATTGGCATTGAAAATATCCATTATTTGAATGATGGGCTGTGGCATATGAAGACCTATAAATGAGCCTTGGAAGAAATGCACTTGACTAAATACGGATATTGTGCTGTATCTGTGTTTGTGTCTGTGTGTGACAGCATGAAGACAATACCTCTGTGGTTATGCTGAATAAATTCAACAGATGCTAAAATTCTGTTAGCTTCAAAAATTAATTTTTCTTAAAGTCAACTTAAAATTGGGTGGCAAACTTGGACATTAAGAGGTATCTGGTAAGTAATCAAACTCAGACAACTTGATGTCCTTTCTTAGGCTAATGATGTAAAATGAAGGGCAGGACTTGGTAAATGAACTTGATAGTATATGGCTGACCCTCAGAGACTCTGCCTACTTAATGGGGCTGGAAGATAGACTGGAAATTTTCTCCCATTACTCCCTGAAAATGCCCTTTCTCTTTTGTGTGTTTTTTGTTTGTTTGCTTGTTGTTTTTCAACTTTTCATTATGGAAAATTCCAGACATATATGAAAGTATGTGGGGAATAGTATAATGAACCTTTTCTGTATCCATCACCCAGCTTCAATTCATGGCAAATCTTACTTCATCTGTATCTCATTACTCTTTCCCACTCTACTCCCCAATTATTTTGAAGCAAATCCCAGATATATCATTTTATCTAAACTTTAATGTGTATCTTTACAAGATAAGTGGTTTAAAAAAACTATCATCACACCTAAACTTTCGTTATCACACCTCAAAAATTTAACTGTTTCTTAATATGATCAAATATCTGGTTCAAATATGTGACAAGTGAACTTGATTGCCTCTTTATTTTTTTAACCATTTGTTTGAAATTGGTCCTAGACAAGGTCCATATATTGCATTTGGTGGTTATTTGTTTAAGTCTCTTACGTTAGAAATTCTCCCTTTGTCTTTTCCCCTTTAAATTAATGATTGAAGAAATCTGGTTGTTTTGTCTTACAGAGTTTTCTCCTGCATTCTGGATTTTGTCAGTTGTATCACTGTAAAGTCATTTAATTTGTTTTTTATGCCCCCTTGTGTAACCCATAAACAGATAGGCTTGATGAGATTCAGGTTGAATTTATTTAGTGCCCTGTCCCAAAGCTGGGGAAACTCGTACTTGGAACTTTCAGATTTGCATCCCCACTGTATGCCCCAGAGAACATGTATCTCCTATCATAAGTATTCTATGAAGGCCATGGACCTATTTCAATAAGAACAATGAACTGTTTTGGGAATTAAATGAGAATTAAATGGGAATGTACATAATGACAGTGGGTATTTCTCAATAACCTTGCTGTTCTAGTGTCTCAGTCATTTTCATTTGGTTGTTTACCAATATATGACATGTGATTTTATTTTTCAGATGGATACAGACATTTACAAGACTGTGGTGATCCGTGTTACAGTTAGAAGTTGGTGAGAAAGGTGAGGGTGGTTAGTAAAAAGAGAGAGGCCGTTTGGCTGTTGCAGCTTGGCCCCCAAGATACAACATAGGTGAAGGTTATTGATCCGGGCTCTGACCCTCAGACTGAGAAACTGTTTCCCACTAATGAAACTTGTAGGACTTGAGGACTCTCACATTAAAATGTGAATGTGTTAGTTTATAGCGGTATGTCTGCTTAGGGTACACAATTAGGGAACAAGAAGTTTTCTTTTTTTTTTTTTTTTACCAAGAAGTTTCTTGATATACATAGATAAGAGTAAAGGAAGGTTGAAATTTGGAGGAATATTTCATCTGGGCTGGCATAAGGCTTAGAGAATTTTTCCTATTTCATCATTAATTAGAATGCTTATGTCTGCCACAATCTTTCTTTCCTAGCCCGTGGAGGAATCCTGATATTTTACTTCCTATATCCTTTTTAAGTTCTATGTAGAATATTTTTCTTCATCATGACAGTAATATTCTACAACTGAGTATATTTCTATATTTTACTATTTATTCCTGATGGAAAAAAGTGTAAATAGTTTATAAATCATCTTTAAGGGTGGGTTTCTTCAACAGTCTCATTTTATGCTGACTTACTGGTTTCAAATTCTGATGTCTCTCCACTTGATGGATGAGGCACCCTATTTGAGGCCTGTAGCACCTTACATTCTTAAAAAGAGAATATCTGAGTCATTTATGTCATAATCAAACATTGAACTTCTATTTTTGGTGCTAAGTTAATGTTAATTGACCAAGATTGCCTCTAGAGTGTTAGCAATAAAAAAACAAAGCACACACATATTAGAGAAATGAAAACCTTTAATTGCCTGGTTTCTGAAATAATTTATCCTTATTTCTCACCACTGTTAACAGTGGGTGTAGGGAACACTTTAAAAATATTTAACATCATCATCTGTGCTTGTTTTTCCTACTATGCTGAGGTACAGTGACTCTGTTGCCTTGGTGATGTGGACTAAATATATATGTTTTCTTCTTCCCCCTGGGTCTGAGGCCTCAGGTCATGGTGTTAGTCAGGGGTGTCACTCTACATGGGGAGCCTGGTCAGTTTCTCAACATGAGGTCATGCAGAAAAGCCAATTCAAAGAGGTTAAACTAGCATCTCAGCCTCTTGAGGTCTTACTCTTAAAGGAACCTAGTCTACCCACATTCCTGAGAGTAGGAATACAGGGAGAGCCTGTTTTCTCTCAGGCAATGTGTCTTCAGTTCATTTTTAGTTTCAAAATTAACTTTGTGTCAAGCCAGCCTACAATCTAGCCATTTCTGTGTATCTGACATACTCAGCCAAGGTCAGTTCAGCTCAATGAACATTTATATATTTTTTAAAGATTTTATTTGTTTAGTTGACAGAGAGAACACAAGCAGGGGGAGAGGGAGAGGCAGAGGGAGAGGGAGAGGGAGAAGCAGGCTCCCTGCTGAGCAGGGAGCCCGATGTGGGACTCCATGCGGGACTCCATCCCAGGACCCTGGGATCATGACCGGAGCCAAAGGCAGACGTTTAACTGACTGAGCCACCCTGGCGCCCCCAACGAATATTTATTAAATACCCGCCAGGTTCTAGGTGATATGGGACAAAGATGAATAATACACAATGGCCCTTGCCCTTAAGGAGCTTCAGGCTAGTGCGTAAATTTACATTTAAAAAAATCTGGGTAATGGTGATAGCCCAATACCGATTGATAAAGCCACTGGGAAGTTATTAATACTTTTCCAATTTCGGTGACCAAAATTTCAAAATTACACATGAGCTAAATATAAAAGTATTCCTTAGATTATATCCAGTGTGAGAAGGTTAAGAACATCCAGATGTCTTGGAGTTGCAAGGATTCAGCATTCCAACTCAGATGGTCGTCCCATTGTGCAGTAATAGAAAGGCCTGATCAGCCCTCTTCTAGGAGACTATTACAGTGGTTTGGTGGTGTTCTGTTGGCAGCTGCATTTTTTCTTTCTTTTTTTTTTAATTTTTTAATGTTCTGGACCCAAAACAGACAGCTGGATTCATCCCAGGGGTAGTCTTGAACATTTCCAATTCGAGGGATTTGATAGTCCCCAAACAGAAGGTCATATGGCATTTGTCAAATAATGATTATATCCAGCCAAGTTCCTCCTCTGGATACAAATCAGCTACTGAGGATACAGTATTTCTAAGCATAGTAGTTCAAAAAATATAAGAATGGCAAATGACTCAATTTGCACAGGTATTTCATTACAATAAATATTTTACTTTTTATTCATGAGAATATTAATAATGTAGCAATCATCTATTAATGGGAATATGAAATGAATGTATGTCCAAACAAAATGTGGTAAATATTTTAACTTTGTTTATCTAGGTTCCTTAATTTTGAGACTATATTTCTCAAGGCTCTTCATGAAACTCAAAATGTTCCAATTTCTAGGAGTAGCCACTAGAACTGATTTATAATGAAAGGAAAAAAATGAAAATGTATGCATCCTGTGTCAATGTAACCATCACTTCTGAGGTCTCAAGCAATCGGAAACTTGCTCAAGTTATAACCTGTAAGAATTAGGCCATTAAAATATATTTGGAAAGCCCTTCAGAACACTTACATTTAGAATGTTATTGGTTGTATTAAGGCAGTAAAAATTAGATTAAATATAATTGTTCTTAATATCCCAGTCTCTCAGCAATAGTTCCTAAAGAAATCATGCCTGTCAGCATGGAGACTGATACATGTAAAGGTATACTTTGTATTGTATGTTTTTATATTTTGTATGTATACTTTGTTACCCTCTTTGTAACAGGTAAAAGAATGATGATATATAATGAACTATAACACTACTTTAATATTATATTAAAATTAATTAAGTACTTGTAAAGGACTACAACTCCATCAGAACAGGAGTGAATAAATGTGATTGAGAACCAGTTTTTAATCTGGAAGACTATTAGGCAGGCAGGTTGGTTGGTTGGTTGGTTTGCTTAAGAGGCAGGCCTCTTGGAGAATATAATTTATGTATGGGAAAACATACAGGAAATGATTCACTGGAATTCTCCTAGTAGTATCCCGTTCATCCAAAGTACTTAGTACTATTAATATTTGCCTCTTGGAGTAAAAAAAATGAAAGGACACTCAATCTTATCCTTGAACACTTTGACAGTAAAAGATCCATTAGTGAAATAATTTCTAAATAATACCCTAATTGTTACAGAGAATGACATGCTTCACTATTGTTCAGTTCTAATTAAACAGGTTTTCTTACACATTTTAAAATCTCATTTTAAAAGTAAAACAAATTATGATTTCCACATCCTATTTTTTATTGCTCTTGTTCCATTCCTCAATTTTAAAGTACTTTAATTTCAGCCAGTATGTGAATAGAGGGGACTTTTGGGGCATAATTATTCATTCTCTTCAGGTTCATTCTAAGTTTTCCCAGAACTCTACCATAGGGGGAAATAACTCTCTAAATTTAAAAGATGCAAAGGTTAGTTTTCTTTCCTTCTAATTTTATTTTTTTTTATCACAGGACATGATTGTGAATGATAACTATGAACTTCCATTTAATCTTCTTTGGTGAAATAAGTAAATTCTATTGATTTTCACAGGTGTATGAGCAAAAGACTTCTAATAAGCAATAAATCATGTAAGCACTTGCTTGGAGGAAGTGCCATTTCTCCAAACATATGCCTTGGAAACAAATAAAATTCAGTTCCCTTTTTGCCTCCGGGAAAGCCATATTGGAGAGACTTTTGAGGTCAGGCAAT